AAGTCTGGAAGACGGGCTTGCGAAAGAGCGAGGGGAGTATTTTGAAAAGTCAGAGAAATTTCAATTTCTTTAACTTAAGTTAATACGTACCATTACATGAAATAATAATAATAACAGCAACAACAATAAAAATAAGAAAATTATAAATATCATTAATAAATTAAAAAATAATTATTAAATAATTAAATAAAAGTAAAATATTATTATTGTTCATATAATTTGTTGTTATTATTTTTTTATTATTGATTAAAGTGCCCCTATTATGGGTAATGAAAGGTTCATATTTTGGTTTTGGGAGTCCCCAACAACAGGTTGGCATGCATGCAAGGTCAAAAAACACTTTCATTGTCTTATAATATGCATTTATTTTTACTTTACTTGCTCAACTACTCCCAAACGATTCGCTCAACGATTCATTTTTTGAAAACCCTCCTTTGCCTGACGCTAATCTGCGGTGATTGGTCCGATTGGTCTCATTTTCAATAATGCTGATAAAGCAGCGTTTGTGAGCAGTGCTGCTTTGTGTACAGCGTTACCGGGGAAACCGCTATTCTTACCGTTCCAAAAGCGGCACCTAGTGGCAAAGAATGAATTTGCATTTTCATTCAGACCAACGCGAAAAGAGCAACAAGTGGGCTGGCAATATGCTAATGTTTCATGTTGACGTCAACATGAAGCGGCTTGGGATTCATTTTAAAAACGACTTTAGAGTCTTCAGAGTTTCAATGATTTAGACTCAACTTTTCTTTTGAGAGACAATAACTTTATACACGGTGCACTTTCAGATTTAAAACTTTGCAGCATGTTTTCATTCACGTAGAACTGTGTTACACACTGCATGAAAGGTAATTTTCAAAAATCCATAATAAGGGCACTTTAAAATAAAAATGTTTCACTCAAATTGATACTCAGCTCTAGGAAAAAGTGCAACACTCACTCTACAAACATAAATTTAACATTTCTTTAAAACAATGACGTTTCCGCCAAATTCAAAGCCTTCATCAGACATTTTGTTTGTTTCTCAAATTGATATGCAGATAAGATAATATCCAAAGGCAAAATAGAAGCATTTTCATAGCCTTACTGTAACTTCAGTAATATGCTTATGTTTATCTCACCATTCACCTCACACTTTAAAAAAAACATACATAGACAAACAGAAAAGTATAGGCTACTGGCAATTTTCTGCCAGGACATTTTATGGACATTTATTTTAACCCTAAAACACGGAATAAATTCAAAATACAGGGAAATACCTGATAAAAATCAATACAGAAAATTCTTTCATATAACCCTATTTTTACAAACAGTTTTTAGTTAAACATTTCCAAACCTAAATGCTCATACACCCAAAGGACTTCAGATGGCTGTTTATCAAACTGCATACAAAAATGCAATATTTACGAGTTTAAGATCTATTGTGTCTGGTTCCACATGTGGTTATAGTTTAGAGAGAAAAAAAAATCTTTACTAATCTGTGTGAATGAAACGGTTTCGTCCTGTAGAGTCTGGTGAAACTTAATCATGCATAACCAAAATCACCACAGAACAAACAAGCTGTAGTGGGCTGCCATATCATGTGCTTAGTCATTTGTGTGTTGACATTTGTTTTGAATTAACCATTAGAGTGTAAAAGTGAAATATCTTCATGGCTGCTGTGATTCTCATAGGTATCTAATAGCAAAGACAAGACTCTTCCACTCCCTGGAGACAAAGACAACCTGGCCGTCCAGACCCGCGGAGGCCCGGAAAAGCATGAGGTTACTGGCTGGGTGCTAGTAAGTGTGTTTTAACTAAATATACACTCTTTCGTTTGTTTATATCTCCATGCTTAACTACTACAAGCTTTCTGCTACAAGTTACGAGTGTTATTTATTGAGCAAGGCAAAACCGTTACAGCATTTTTTTGTTGGCAGCGCTGCTCTAAAAGCACTCTAGGCTCATCTCAGGTTACATTTGTTTGGAGTTCTCTGCACTTATCGAACCATTGAGAACAGATTGGGTGAAAACTACGGCTGATGGCCATCTGTTGCAGATATCTCCACTTACCAAGGAGGAGGACGGCTCCTACGAGTGTCACGCCAGCAACATCCAGGGCGAAGCATCGGCCGTGGGCACCATTCACGTGGTGGATTCCATTAATGACATTCCACCCAAGAAGGGTGAGTGAGTGCAGTTGAACGGTGGTTGACTGATGTACAATAAATCAGTCCATTCGCACCTACTTCATGCTTCAGGATGCATAAAAGACATGCATTAGTAGAGAATGTAGTAGAAACGTATGTGTGCAGCACATGCTGTATAGGACGTGTCCCATCATGCCAAGCTGTTTTCTTGGCCCACATCACCTGCCAGTTCCCTGTGAGCAAGATGGTTGCAGTGACAAGTTTCTACTGTTGCATGTTGACAGCCCATAAAACAACTTTGTGAGGAACATACCCTGGTTTCAATCAATCAAAATTTTGCTTCACTAAGGCATGCTCTAAAATTCCAGATTAGATTAGATTGAATTAATAATTTTAAAAAAGCCTACTAGCTAATCATGATTTACTCACCATTGTTGTTTCAAACCCGTATGACTTTCTTTTTTCTATGTATAGCACAGTCCAAGCTGCTGTTTTCCAAACATTGGAATCATTCTGTGATGACAGTGCTTCCAGAATTGCAAAAAAGTACCATATGACTGAAGTCATACAATAAGCATGGATTTGATTGTTGAACAAATGTCTTTTTTTTTTTATCTGAATGGAGAAGCAAATTACATTTTAATGTTTTAAAGTGTAAAATTATTTAAGTCCAGTTTTATTAACTAAAGCTAAAATTATTAAAAATCACTTCATTAATTGGAATGAAGCTGAAACAAAATAAAATGTAAACAATCTATAAAAAAAAATGAAAACTTGAATAAAATATAAGCAAAAATTAGAAATGTTTCCTTGGGAACTAACTGAAATAAAACAAGGTGAAGTTGTAATAAGATGCAAAAACTAGTACTGAAAAAAGCTTAAAATGTTTAATTTTTAATGAAATGACTAAAACTAAAAGAAAAAAAAAAAGCAAAAGAAAATGTAAGTTCTTTTAGGAACTGGAAAAGGATAAATAAATATATTTAAAAAAATTATAAAAGCACATTAATTCTCAAATTAATTTAAACATTAATTAAAATGTTAATTTCTCTAATTAAAATAAAAACTGAAAATATAAAAAAAATATTAATAAATACTATATTATATAACTAATACTAAATTAACACTGTTTAAAGGGATAGTTTGCCCAAAAATATAAATTCTGTCATCATTTACTCTTCTGTCTTCATTTAGTTGTTCCAAACCTGTTTCTTTCAACAGAAATCCATCTTTCATCAACCAGTTGATGGTATCCATTGACTTCCATAATAATCAAAATAAAAAAACACTATGGAAGTGAATGGCTACCGTTAACTGTTTGGTTACCAACATTATTCAAAATATCTTCCTTTGCACTCAACAACTTGATTGTGAGTAAATGATGACAGAATATTCATTATTGGATGAACTATCCCTTTAAATCTCAATCTGTTCCACACACATAAGATTTTGAATACAACAAACAAGTTATATAAACTGCTTTTATTGTGATCTTGGAGCAGAATTTTAGTTTTTAGGCGAGTTATAAATGTAATGCCAATTACCTACCTGTTTGGCTGTATAACACAGTATTCCTTTTTTCAGGTAACTAGAAAACTAAGATTTCATTGTCATTGGTGCCTCTTGTCTGTTTGTATGCAGGGAAGGATGATGAGCTGTAAGAGGACGTGGCCTCCGACTGAGATGTTGAAACACTACGCCTGTGCACTGATGACAAGCATCTAGCGTAATCACTTCTCACGCATTCCACCTGAACCACAAACAGCAGCTCACACATGGACACTTTATTCTATAGAAGTTCAGAGACACTCACAAAAACCCAGACCCCAACATTTCTCCATTCCTACACTTTACCTCACTCTACAATGTGTCTGCCTGCAGAACAACTTCGATACTGTAAAGCGCCAACCAAGACAACCATCATATTGATTTTTGAAGAGATACACCCATTCGTACCCAAGAACACATTCAGGCACGCACACTTCATACGGCACGTAATATCATTCACACTTGCATGCATGTGAAGGCACTCAAATATCTCTTCTCCACTTATCATATGCATGTTTTGCTTCTCTGTTATTTTTCAAGATGTTTTTGATTATACAAATTGTACTCATTCCTTTAGTTTTCTTTTCTTTTGGTTGACGTCTATGGTGCTGAAAAACAATTATTTTAAGAGTCAACTACTTTTTGCCCAATTTCTAAGACTTAGATGCTGTTCCTCCAAGGATCAGTTAAAACTTTAAGGCCTGGTTTTACAGACAGGGCTTAGGCTAAGCCAGGATTAGGCCATAGTTCAATTAGTCATTTTTCATAAACATGCCAGAAAACACATTACTGGTGTGCATCTTGAGACAAAACAAAGGCACTGATATATTTTAAGATCAGTAAGTGCAAGTTTCTTTCAGTTGACAGCTCAGATTTACATTTTAGTCTGGGACTAGGCTTAAGCCTTGTCTGTGAAACCGAGGGTAAGACTGCTTCATCTAAATCAGTAGTTTAATTTTCTGGGTGTTAAGAACTAACTCTTTCCGTTGCTTCCCAAATTACAGTAGAATTAAGTGTTGTCCTCAAAGTCTGAGCATCTAATGCATCTGTTTATATGTTTTGATATTTGTATAACACTAATGAATAAAGATTCAAGTACTTGAAGAGGCAGGCAGTGTGTTGTCTGTGCAGAAAAACTAAGCAATAATGTCGTCATGATCACTTTTTTTTTATATAAAGGAAACTTTATTTTATTCTGGGTTGAACAGCCAAAACATCTGTTCCAGAACAATAACACTTGAAAAACAACAAAAACTGTAGAAGTTCACAAGCCCAGCAGTTACCGCAGGAAGTGCTGTTGGGATCCATTCAAAATCATTTTCCCTATAATTTTTTCCATTATTCTGTATATCCTGTTTTCTGTCATTCATCTGTGTGTTGTTTAGCTGGTCATCATCCGTGGGGCAATGCTCATAGACATCAGCTCCTGGAATAAGAGCTTACAGGCATACGGCATCCTCACCAAAGAGATCTGAAAGAGCAGAGCAGAGGATGGAAAGAGTCATGAAAGAGCCCATTTTATCATATTAAATAATCCAAAGCAAGTTCTATAATATGCTCACTAGACCCTTTAAGGTAATAGGTCATTGCTTGCTCCTTGTGGGAACTGAACCAACAACCATGCCTTATTGCATCCATAAACTGGATGAATCGATCATAATAAGGTCAATAACATGCATTTAGAAAACTGATAGTGTGAAATTTCATGTCATGTTGTCTTTAATGACCACCTGATCCAGTTAGGATATCGGTGCTTGCTCACCTGTGTCTTGTTGCGGCAGCCCCTGCACTCATAGGTGTGTGTGCGCGTGTTTGCGATAGCCATGAGGCCACATAAATTGCAGACGTGGACCTGGTACGGGTCAGAGGCCTCAAAAAGCCTCTCTTTTAGGAACTGAGCAGCACCGTGAGCGATTTGACAGTCACGTTCCATCTCTCCAAAACGCAGCCCACCATCACTGAAGGGAGAAAAAAAAAAAAACAGTATTAAGATCTGATAGGTTATTTTATATATTATGCATGAAAAAAAACTCCCAAGTATTATAGTGCTGTCTCACCGTGATCTACCCTCCATGGGCTGTTTGTTGTTTTAGGAACTGAGCAGCACCGTGAGCGATTTGACAGTCACGTTCCATCTCTCCAAAACGCAGCCCACCATCACTGAAGGGAGAAAAAAAAAAAACAGTATTAAGATCTGATAGGTTATTTTATATATTATGCATGAAAAAAAACTCCCAAGTATTATAGTGCTGTCTCACCGTGATCTACCCTCCATGGGCTGTCTGTTGAGGATCTGGACCGGACCACGGGCTCTGGAGTGGATCTTATCATCCACCATGTGCTTCAGACGCTGGTAGTATGTGGGTCCAATGAAGATCTGAGAGGTGAGCTTACGGCCGGTGAAGCCATTATACAGAACCTGCAAAAAAACCACTATCATTAGAAACATGTTTCAACATTCTTAAATGCATTCTTAAAGGGACAGTCCACTCAAAAATGAAAATTTTTATTTATTAGGGCTGGTAAGCGATTAAAATATTTTAATCTAATTAATATGAATTTATTTCTTTAAAGGGGTCATATGACATTGCTAAAAATAACATTATTTTGTGTATTTGGTGTAATGAAATGTGTTTATGCGGTTTAAGGTTAAAAAAAACATTATTTTCCACATACTGTACATTATTATTTCTCCTCTATGCCCCGCCTTTCTGAAACGCGTTGATTTTTACAAAGCTCATCGTTCTGAAAAGCGAGGCGTGCTCTGATTGGCCAGCTATCCAGTGCGTTGTGATTGGCTGAATACCTCAAGCGTGTGACGGAAATGTTATGCCCCTTACCATACTGTGATGCCGTGTCCCGGCGCAACGAGACAACACCAATAAAACCCAGTTCTTTATGCACCAAGAGCTTGTAACACTCCAAAGAGAAAGGAAAAATTGAAATCGCATCATATGACCCCTTTAATGAAATGATACTCTAACTAATAAACTAAAACTGCCAGTAGGTGGTGGTAAATGTCTTAATGATTAAGTCAGAGTCATTTATTCATTCATTTGATTCTTCAAATGGCTGATTCATGCAGGAGTGTAGTAAATGGTTCTTTATGAATGGTCCATTGAATCATTAGGCTTGTTCGACTTGAAGCGGATCATCACCATCAGACCTATCGGTGTGGACATCAAAGTACCGCAAGAGCTATAGAGAGCAGACGGCTCCTTATGCTTTTGAATCGCTCTCGCGGTACTTTGATGTCATTCACCTATAGGTCTGTGCAGCGCTGCTTCAAATCCAACGCGCCTACAGCCAATGGTTCAACACGCCTATAATTCACCCAATTTGTTCAAAACGTCCATTAAGAAATGAAATGCCGCTGTGTGTTGCTCGGAGACGAACAGTTCTGCTTTGTCTTTATATTTTCGTTGACACAATATTAACTTCTTACTTACTGAACTGTTGTATAAGATCAGTATCACATTTGCACTCGTGTGATATTGCACTTAGCCTATTGCTCGTGTGATATTGCTTAACTATATGATGTAAATATGAGACAAAAACTCAAACAGGGGCATTTTTGCCCCTTATCTTGAATTTTAGGGACATTATAACTACGTTCTCTAGGCTCCATCAAGCAGTGAGTTGTTGCCCTGCCTCATATTTATCATCAATCAGCTTGAAACCGCGAATTGAAAATTCAGCCAATGGAAACATGTAAATTTTGCAAAAACTCCCATATATTGCAAAAACTTTTTTACGCTTGCATTAGGTGGTTTTTCAGGCAATTTGAAAAAGGAATATTTCGCAAAAGTTTTAGTTTTCTAGTGGGAACCAAAGCTGTTTGGTTAACAACATTCTTCAAAATATCTTCTTTTATGTTCCACAGAAGATAGAAACGAATACAGATTTGGAACAAGTTCAGGACGCATCCATTTTTATCATTTTCATTTTAGGTGGACCATCCCTTTAATAGTGCTGCCACATTGGCAGGTAGAAGCTCTTCACCTCATTGCCTCTCAGATGGTAACCATATTCTGACAGCAGGTTGGAGACTTTTTGTACGTTCACAGCATCATTGAACGGCGTGGCATCACCAATCTCCCCTTTGTTAGCGGACACCTGAACGGAAGAGGAAATAAAAAGAAGAATTCAGAACTGCTGTATATTTAATACACAATAGAGGCTCATGAGTTAAATCAGTGTAATTACTAACTGGCTGCTCATATTACAATGTGTAATTAAACATTAACTACATATTTATAACGTTTTTTTAAAGTGCATAAATGTGCACAAATCATTACAAGAGAGAAATTCTGTAAAATATCCTTCCTTGCAAAGTACTAAACATGCCAACATGACTTCGCTGGAAAATCTTTGTGGTGCACGTGTGCAAACACATGTGCCCAGAATAAACATCTTTCGCTAATGTAGACAATGAGTTGAAAGACAAGCATGATATGTAGGATTAGGAGCAGAGAACCCAAGTACCTTCCCCTGCAGGCACTCGATCAAATGGCCGACTGTCATTCTGGAGGGGATGGCGTGAGGGTTGATGATGATATCTGGAGTGATTCCTTCACATGTGAACGGCATGTCCTAATGAGAGAAATTCACAGCTCAGGTCAGACATGCACATTATCTGCATTTGAGTTTTTGGGTGACTGTTTACAAGGCCTTCAGCTGTGAGTCAATCTGCTATCAGGAACTGCTTAAGAGCTACATCCTGTATACAGACCTTCAACTACAGGCTAGTCTAAACAAAGCTGACATACACATTTAGTCACACTAATATTAAAAATGAGCACTACAACATCACAGCCTCCATTATACACTTCCGTTAACAAGTTTGAGGTCAGTGAAGTTGTTTTTCCTATTAAAGTATTACTTCTATTCTACAAAGATGCATTACACTGATTAAAAGGTGACTGAAATAAAACCTGTTTCTACAAAAATATTATTTAGCACAACCATTTTCTATGCTGATAAATGTTTTTCAAGCAGCAAATCAGCTTACTAGAATGATTTCTGAAGGATCATGTGACACTGAAGACTGGCGTAACGATGCTGAAAATTCAGCTTTGCATCCCAGAAATAAATGACATTTTAAAATGTATTAAAATAGAAAACGGTTATTTTAAATTGCATTATATTATTTCACAATACTACTATCTTTACTATTTTTTCCCAAATAAATGCAGCCTTGATGAGCATAAGAGACTTCTTTCGAAAACATAAAATAATTGTACCGGCCTCCAGACTTTTGTACACACTTACCTCTTGTCTGTACTGGATACCACAGGTACCCTTCTGACCATGACGACTGGCAAACTTGTCTCCAATTTGTGGTATACGAACTGAACGGACCTGCACAAAGTTTGCAAAATGCAAAATTTACATTTATGCATTTGGCACTAACAGTGTTTAAAGATAAAATAAATAAATAAACCTCAGAGTCAAAATCAATACATACCCTAATTTTGCAAAACTTGTAGCCCTCTTGGTTTAGCGTGACCATGACTTGGTCAACGATACCGGTTTCACTGGTGCGCAGGAATGTGCTGCAGTCTCTCTTAGTGTAGCGACGGTTGGTGCTATCCAGCTCATCGTCATTCTCGGGAAGCGTTACGGTTTTACCAATGATAACGTCCTCGCCAGACACACGTACACCAGGAGCAATCAAACCATCGTCATCTAACTTGTCATAGATGGCATGTCGCATGCCTTTAGAGAAAAAAAAAACAGCAATGATAATGCACCTTATGCAGAAAGCCTCTGTAACACCATGTTCTAGCCAAACATGATGTGATAAAGCATCAAGCAATGCATCCCATCTCCATGTTTATCTTAAGGTTTACTGCAAATGTCAACAACACTACACAACAATATTCAAAGTAAAAACGCATTGGACCACACATGTAGACAAATATATAACATTTTCTGATTTGTGCTTTATATTGTGCAAACAGTAACACTTTTTCAGTATTTTTTTGATGAACAGAAAAAAAATAAGTTTTTTTTTTTTAATGGAAATCTTTTGTAACATTCTAAATGTCTTTACTGCCCCTTTTGATCAATTTAACGAATTCCTTCTTGAATAATAAAAAAAAAAACTCACTGAACCCAAACCTTTGAATGGTAGTGTTGAAACAGATGCAGTACTTCTGTTCAATGTAAGAAATAGATTACCTGCCGGCAGCTCTCTAAAGCGCAGGTACTCCATGGAACGAGTCGTGACTAGGGGTTTCTGGGGGTAGTAGAGCACATGTGCCAGGGTATCCATACGCACATGGAAGTTGGTGATGTAAACTCCCATGGCTTGTTTACCCATAGCAGACTGGTATGTGTTTCTGGGAGACTGTAGACAGGAGAGTGTATCATTTAGACGCTATTTTATATACAAGTTCTTACAAATGGTTATACTAGAGAACTGTCAAATGAAATATCATATTTGAGCTTGCAGATGTTAAAATACTCGAAAATGTTAATAAATCCACAATAGCATTCAGGTAATATGTAGGTACCTGGTTGTGATCAGGGAAGGGAATGATAGATGCACAGACGCCCAAAATCATGGACGGGTGGATCTCACAATGTGTGTAGGTGGAGCAATAAGCCACTCCCTTCTCCTGAAGGTCATCTGGGGTCATGGCCAACATCACAGTCTCCTCCTCTAGTGTGTCAATATATTCAACCACACCACTGGCTACCAGGTCCTGCCAACTACACAAGAGACAGATACTCTGTTATTGAGGAACAGGCAGATTCTGAAAGCTGATATTTTTCACAAAGGTATGTACCTGTAGTTGTTGTACTCTCTCTCTTTGAGCTGGTCAATATGTCGCCTCTTCAGAAGAAGTTTTTGCTTTTCTACAATAAGCAGCGGACGGCAGATCCTGCCAGCATCTGTGTAGATCCTGATCTCCCTCTCACGAATATCTCTGATCATTGACACCTGGATCACAATGAAAACAAGATCACAGTTAGGTGCTGTACACTGAATAAAACGTTAAACTGGAGTGGTGCACAAATGATGTCCCACCTCAGACACAATGATGTCCATCTGTCTCCTCAGTTTCCGCAGTGTGTTCATCAGTTGCTCTGGATCTTTATGAATACCCACCCAGCAACCATTCACAAAAATCTTAGTTGCACTGAAGGAAGAAACACAATTATATGGTATTATTCTATAAAAATTGTAATTAATTAATCTTTATTTTACCCTCTAGCACTCTCTATTCTTATATTCTTAAAAAAAAAAAACACTTGTCCCTTTTAGACTTGCACTCTATTCATTTGCGGCTTGTTTTCTTTATAAAAAAATAAATTAAAAAAAAGTAACACTTGCTTTCTAATCTTTTTGTATTCTATCTGTTTTCTTTTAATTTATTATACAATTAACAAAAACAAAAAAGACCTCTAACACTAGCTTGCTCTATTTTTCTATTCTATCTGTTTTCTTTTTATTTATTATATTATTTAAAAAACCCTTGCTACGTGTACTGCGTTAAGCTAACTGAGACTTGTTACAGCACTTGCTTATCATTGCTCTTTTGTTGATTTTGACTGCTTCCATTGTCCGCATTTGTAAGTCGCTTTGGATAAAAGTGTCTGCTAAATGACTAAATGTAAATGTAATGTAATGTAAATTAAATAACTGACTGATTTTATAAACAAAGAAAGTCAATTAAAAAACTAGGAACATCATTGTGAAATCAAAATTGTGGATGTGGATTTCAGCAGTGTGCTGCTGCCCCCTATAGAACAGGATGACACTCACTCTGCAATGGCAGCAGGTGAGATTTCCTCCAGGTTCTCCATGCTCCACTCTTCCAAGAACTCCAGGATGGGGGACGGCTGAGATCCCACAGAAATGTAGGCCATGAGCGCTAAATTCTTCACCAAACCTACAGCATGGCCCTGCAACAAAATAATTTCCCTCCATTGAAAACTTGAGTTGGGGTTGAAGGTCACATGCATACTAGTTTTAAAGGGTACTACCTCTGGGGTCTCAGCAGGGCACACCATACCCCACAATGTGTTATGAAGCTGCCTGGGTTTGGCCAGCTTGCCATCTCGTCCTATAGGCGAGTTTACACGGCGCAGGTGGGAAAGAGAGGAGGCGAAGGTCAACCTGTTCA